TAATTCAGTAATGTTTTCACTGATAAAAGTATTTCCATATATCCTTCCCTGACATTGCTGTACTGTAAAAGTTTCTGAGCTTCAGAAACAGAGGTTGGGGTGGACTAACAAATTTCCCAGCACTGATGTGAGCAGCTAGACGCCATCATAGCCTTCTAAAGGCCCTTTTTATTTCAGCATAGAGCAGCGTGACTAGCATTTACTTAATGAGAGCCCTGCAGCTGGAGTTCCAGTCATTACATGGAATGACAACCCCCTACTCTGAACACACAAAGCTCTCCTGCCTCGCTTCCTTTTGTGAAGACAATTAACGTAAACTGCAGCCATGTGTGCTATTGTGTACAACACAATTTCATTATTCATTTCTTTATTTGTTTAGGAATTTATGCCTACTTTAGTCATTGGAGCGCAAGAGTGTAAACCAGCACTAAATGGTGAATGTTAGATTTTAGCATATCACACTTCACTAAGATTACATTTTCCCCCCATGAAGTTCTACAGAGACAGTATTTAAAAGTTTTAATTGCCTGTTTCTTGCTTCCTCAATTAAGATTTAGGAAGTCTGCTGGTCATTTCCTTTTGCCTGCTGTCGCCATGGAGATCAGCTAGCCTTTGCCTCTGGCTGGTCTTGTTATATTGGTGGGTCATCATGAGCCTAATTACTGTTGAGTCTAATTGACTCCATTAGCGCTCAATATGAGCTTAAACTTACAGTAACAAATGTTTAACGGATCAGCTATATGTTTAGTTCTATAACTCTGATTAAGCTCAGTTTAGAATGTTGTGGTTTAACATATAAATTAGTCACAGACACCTAATAAATGTAATAAACAGCAGTTTTGTAATGAAGACCAGAGTGGCCTTGTCCCAAATGGCAACCTAAACACTTCCTAGGACGTAACGCCACTTTGACTGTCGGGAAGAAGTCTGCTGTGGAGCTCTCACCAGTGCTGGCTCTGCAAAAGTGTGCATCGAGGGCGCATATGGACCGCAAAGGGGCGGTCCTCGCGAGCACCCTTCTGAAACCTAAAATGACAAATGGGACACCCTACGGTCTCATGGACTCAACGAACACGCTGACATGGCTGCCATTGTAAGTCCACAAGCCTGAAAGAGCATATGAAGTGTGCCATTTGGGACAGGGCCAGTAGATGAGCTGCATAGACAAGTCCATGGTTCATTTTCAAGTTGTGAAACTGTTGTGAAATGTCGCACAATTAACCCATCAGAAATTTGATCTTGAACCAATGAGATTTCACTGCGCAGGGCAATCGAGAATGACACCACCTGTGCGTTGCACCGGTCTCCTATCTCTCACGGAGGAGCTTCGGAAGCATAAAAGGAGGAGCGACGACAGTGAAGGAGGAGAGAGGATCAGGCCTGGACTTTTACTTTATGTTTTGTTTATGTGTGTGCTTTACTTTTGTTCCCGCCTCCTTCTTCCCTGAATTACTAACCTTGTTACTCTGAGGTTGTAGCTAAATTGTAGCTAACAGTGTGGAAGAGATACATAGAGTAATATAAGGTTCAAGTTGGAGAACACTGTAGAACGATCAAACTTATATTAAAAAAGTACAAATATTTCGTATCGCTGTCGATGACAACTGAAAATTAGTATTTTCTCTGCCTTATAGTAAACATTAGTGAGTGATTACATCATTAGAGTAATGGCAAGAAACTGATTAGTCATTGTTGAAATGGTAATAATGACACGCAAATCAGTTACATATATTCATGGCATGTTGTGGATAATATTTATGACACTTTTCATATTGATTCATGTGCTCCTTGGAGCTTGATGGTCATAATCATAATCAGTCATTTCATCCCTCATTCAGAAAAATCTGTTTGGAAAGGCATGAAAATGATTAAATGACAAAATATTCTTATTGTTTCTGGAATGAGCAATTTGTTTACTATTTCTCCTGAAAAGCAGTTTCAGTTTTTATTTATTCACTTGAAAATGTTATGTATGTTTTCATCAAAACGTATAAAGAAAATAGCAGAATATTGTTGGCAAAAAGGGGCCAACGTTTTTTTTTTTAAATGAAAATCATGAATTTTCATTACTTTATAATAGTTTTTAATTTTCATTTAATATTTAATATTCATTATTCTTCAGAAAAAAACAGCATAAAGCGGAAAGAAAATGTCCCTTCAGAGGGAACTTCGACACTGCATCATGGTGTAGATGCTATGGGAACGCCTCCAGCCTGAGTCGGTGTCTGAGGGTGTTTTCAGACCTGTAGATCGCTTGTTTTGTTCCATGGGCCTGAAGATGGAGTTAGTAGAGGAGTCTGAGATGGGTGTTCTCCTTTCTCTTGCTCTTTCTTCTGAGTTTGAGGGTCCCATTCTAGATTTGGAAGCTTGATCTGCGGTTTCTTCCAATCCGGATAAAGACCTAATTTTAGCCGTATCTGGTTCTGAACTGGGTAATATTTAAAGAAGTCGGCCTGGCCATTTTGGGGATTAAGGAAAGGGAAAAGACCTTCCTGCTGGACGCCCCGATGTAGTTGTCTAGCCTGTTCATCGATGCGGTTAATGCTGTTGTGGCTGCTTGTGTCCCAATCCCCCTCTCCACCCATAAGGACTGGGGGCTCAGGTGGAGCACACAATCTCAGCCGTTTGGGGTGAGGGCAGAACCAAGGTCTGTCATCGCCTCTCGGGCGTCCTGACGCATTCTAGGCTTCGAAGGTGAGCCCCTCTTGGGAGAAAAAAGTGTAGCACCACAAAATTCTCTCTCACTCACAACACCTCTGTGAGGTCGTTCTGCATCGCTTGAACTCTGCAGACATACAGGTTCAAGATGCTAACGCTGAAATTTATGCCTGGTTCAGATTACACGATTTTAGCCCGATTTTGGCACAATCCGTTTGACGTAGGGTGTCGTGGGGATTCGTAAACGACAACGGGCGTCGAGGCGCAAGATTCGATCGTTTCATCTCGTATAAGTGTGTCATAGTGGACGACAACCGACGCCGTCTGCGATGCTCCACGACATCACGATAAAGAGACTAGCATGTTTATTTTTTTTCGGTCCTCCACAACGGGTTCCGTCACGTGTGACGTTGACCAATTGGATCATAGAAGCTTTCCGTACACAGCTTTTAAAAATGGCGAAACGAAAGAGAGACGATGCTAGGTGGAGTTATGAAATGGAGGAAAGGTTCGTGGAGCTGTGGCAACAGTACTCCTGCCTGTATGATGTTTCATCGAGGGAGTACCATGACAGAATAAAAAAAAGAAAAATGCTGGCGAACGATAGCGGAAGCACTTCAGCAACCCGGTGAGTACTGGAATTAGCATTAAGCTAGCTAATTATTCATTCAATTTTCCTTCGCTATAGAGAAAATTGATTATGTGGGTGTGATAATGTATGTGTGTGTGTGTGTGTGTGAGTGAGTGAGTGAGCGAGCGAGCGAGAGAGTGTGCGACTGAGTGTGTGTGTGTATGTGTGTGAATGAGTGTGATTGACAATTACAAAGACTAATTTTACATGTACTTACATGATTTCTTACCTACAGCCGGTGAGGTCCAAAAAAAGCTGCTTCCCTCCGAACACAGTATGGGAAAGCACTCCGTTCAAAATCGAGTGGCAGCGGCGACAAAGAATTAACTTCCAGACAGAAGTGGATTTTAAAAAACCTGCAGTTTCTACAGCCTTTTGTTGTCCAACGCGTGTCTCAGTCTACACTGAATGTAAGTTTGGGGTAAAGGTTGTTACAGTACTTTCCAACTTTAAAAATAATTTGTGAGCTTTCTATAGTATATGCTTCCAAACATGTATTGTGCCATTACTTATTATGCCTGATATTCCATACAACTTGTTTTATCGTAGTTGGATGACTTGGAACACAGCATCACAGATGAGGGTGGAGAAGATCAGGAGACAGAGGAGGATGTGTCGGAGTCATCCACCTCCACCTCCACCTCACATCTGGACCATCAACTCCACAAACCTCTCTTGAAGCCTCATCATCCCACCAGCATCGTCAGGTTTCAATCAATAATCCTGAAAGAGCACATTACTAGCCCAAACAAAAGTTACGAGACAAATCATTAGATGAACTTGAAATGAAGAAAGTAACCATTTAAAAATGTGTCTGAAACACTGGTAGATGCCGGTAAGGATGTTGATCAAACATTTGGCAAACAGGTAGTTACTGAGATGAAGCTTATTAAAGAAAAAGTATCTTGGGAATTTTTAAAACACAAATCATATTAATTTTAACCATTAGACATTCTACTATTTTTTTAATTACACATATATAATTAAGTCTTTAAAGGGATAGTTCACCCAAAAATTTTATTCTGTCATTAATTACTCTCCCTCATGTCGTTCCAAACCCACAAGCCCTTCGTTCATCTTCGGAACAAAAATGAAGATATTCAAAAATATCTTAATTTGTGTTCCGAAGATGAATGAAGGTTTTACAGGTTTGGAAAGACATGAGGGTGAGTAATTAATGACAGAATAACATTTTTGGGTGAACTATCCCTTAACATTTTAATAAAGTTTTCAGCCTTTCTGTTGGTTGTATATTGTGCTAACATTTGTGTAGTGTAAAAAAAAAATAAACAGGAAGTCCTTCTGAGCGAGTGTTCTTTACGTCTTGCAAAAATGGTCAATATGAAAAGATTTTTCAGTTGGTGTCCATGTTTAAATCATATTTTCCTGCCAGGAAACAGAGCCAGCAGGTGAAAGAAAATATGCCTTTAAACTGTCTCTGATTTTTGGCGGCGGTTGTGGCATTCCTTGCAGTGCTTGCTGCCACAGAGTGGACTTCTCCATCCCTTCTCCAAGCTCCAGGAACCATGTTGTCATGATTGTCATCTTCTACATCTGCAAAGGCAGAAGACTGTACACATCTAATGCCTTCTTCCTCAGCAAGTTGTGCACACAGAGTGCAGCTAGTGTTACTGTTGTCACTTTCTCAGGCTCCAGTGCAATGTTGGAAAGAAAAACACGAAGTCTATTGGCCAAAATTCCAAATGCGTTTTCAACTGTACGCCTTCCCCTTAGTTGAATATTCGCTGCCCATGGTCCAGATTTCGAAAGCTTCATCACCAACAAATGCATAGGGCAAAGATATGTTACTTCCTGGTAGTGGCTCTGGAGGTGGGACATTCAGCAGATCTCGGTCCATGGCAGCTCGGAGGTCTGACTGGCCAAATATTCCTCCATCTGACACACTTCCTTGTACGCCAACATTGGCATAAATAAATTTGTATTCTGTGTCGACTACTGCCATGAGTACAACAGAATATCTGGACTTGTAGTTGTGGTAAGTACTTCCAGTGTTTGCAGGTGGCTGGATGTAGATGTGCTTTCCATCTATGGCTCCTGAGCAATTAGGAAATTGCCACTTGTTTTCAAATCCCATTACCACCTCTCTCCACTCTGCCTCCGTTGTAGGAGTCTGAAAAAAGAAACACCATATATAATTAATACGTGTAATGTTCTCTCATTTTTACAGAAGTTATGATATACTTAAAAAAACGCCTCTGGTTTTGACTCTCTGGTTAAAACACTTGGTTTTGGGACTTCTCCAGTAAAGGCTTCTCTTTGTGTGTCCACCCACTGTTGTGAAATGTCTGTTATTTACATCAAATGACTTGCCTTTAAATGATCATCCTTTAAAACTCCATACAAGGCTTGACAAGTCTCCATTACTATCTCACTGATAGTACTACGGCCAATCTGGCACTGGAAGCTCAGAGATCTAAACGTCTCTCTCCCGTGGAAGGGAGCATGGGTATAAGGTGTATAATACACCATGGCCTGGTTTCACAGACACGGCTAAGATTAAGCAAGGATTAGGCATTAAATTAATTAGGGCATTTGAGTAGCTTTTATAAACTTGCCTTAAAACATTACTGGTGTGCATCTTGAGACAAAACAATGTCACTGACATATTTTAAGATAAATCAGTGCAAATTGCTTTCAATTTAAACAGCTCAAACATGCATTTTAGTCTGGGACTAGCTTAAATTTTGTCTGTGAAACAAGGGTCATATGATTTTTTTAAATGGACTTTTTACCGGTAGCAAGGAATCGTAGAGTAAGTGACAGCCTCATTCTTGCACTGATTGCTTTTCTCAGTTTTGTGTCCCTTCTTTGGATAAATGGTGTAACTTTGCCAGGCAAGTAGCTGAAATCCCTCACATCCATCCTAAGCAGATCATGAAAACCCTTCCTGTCACTGTCCAACAGTATAGATAGAAAAAAAAAAACATGGTTTGGTTGATTGGTTTTAGCCCAAAGCAATGTTTAACTTTTAAACCTTCACATAAGGGACATAATGCAAAACTTCAAAACAATACAAAAAAAAATGTGTGTCAAGGAAATGGTATTGCAATTTGTATAATTGAGATTAAGCATATAGTATAGATGATGGTGTTATGAATCAATCAAAGGCATCATATGAAAGCGCTATATAAATGCCTCATTGTATTCTATTCTATTCTATTCTATTCTATTCTATTCTATTCTATTCTATTCTATTACTTTTACTACTGGCTAAAAGTAAAAATACATAACTTATATAAAAAAAAACAATATTTTACCTCAAGTTCTCTTTGAAGGATTGACAGCCCATACTGTCCTCTTTGAGCAATCCAGGAACGTGTCCATGGTCGGGTTTTCTTTCTTTTTTTGGCGTTTTTCTGAACACAAGACAGCCAATACAAAACTTGCCGCTTCATCCATTGTTTATTTACGTTCGTTTCCGGAAGTCAGTCGCTACTAGTTTCACCTTCTCTATTACATCACACCAACGTTAAAGACGGCACGCGATGACTGGTCAGGAAGCAACGTGTAGTCTGACATGTTTCTTGTCCACGACACGACAAGATTTTAAGAGTCAAAATCGCATAATCTGACACAGTGACTATCGTAACTGAAAATCGTGTAATCTGAACTAGACATTATTGTGTCTCAAATTCAATCTCAGGATTGATTTGTCATGGTAGATCTGAAGGACGCATAATTTCATATCAATCGGGCTAAGGCCCGAGTAATGGAGACTCCACCCACAGGTGATGGTATGATGATATAGCTGACGTACGGCCGAGTGGAAGGCTATTTGTTCATCACGAAGTCCAGGTCGACCCACTGTCCCCTCTGGTTCGCCCTCACACCTCCAGTTCCATCAGGGCTGGATTCCATGGTGCAGATGTGGCAGAGGCTGCTGTACACCTTCCCCCTGATCACTCTGCTCCCGGGAGTTCTAGCGATGGTTTGTCAGGACCGTTTTTGAACCTAGTGTCTCTCCTGGAAGGCTCCATTGGGAGATTCCGACCAGAAAGGACCTTCTGTCTCAGATACAGGGCTTGATCAATCACCCCCGACCTGAGATTTGGAAACTGTGGGTCTGGCCCCTGAGGGGTACCTGCTCATAGCCAGTCCTTCAACCAAGGTTGTTGAGAGCGTTTTAGATGCTAGAGCTCCATCATAATTTATGTCCAGTCAGGGGGGCCCTTAGGATTTGCACTCACTGCTCAGACCAGTGGCGTAAATCTGATCAACTTTTCGGTATCACACTGGCTTACTGATGCAATTTACCCTTCGCTTCGGTATCAAACTGGCTTACTGATGCAAATCACCCTTCGCTTTGCTATCACACTGGCTTACTGATGCAATTCAAGCCCCACCCTCCTTAGTTACTGTTGCTACGGCTGACAAGCTTTCGCGCCTTGCACGTCTATTACAGTATGTATGAACCGGTGTCAAACATTCCCAAGGAGATAACTAGTACTTTTTTTGGCAAACAGGTTAAATATCTGAGAGAGCAAGACAAAAGGGACTGCAATATGCGTTCGAGGGATATATCCACGACATAACATGCAACCGATTAGAGAATAATTTCATCAAAATTTAAGCTAAAGCCTATAGGTCCCAGCGCAAGCAGCAGCCGCCTCATACGCTGACCATTCAAATGGGAAACACAAATTAAGGAACAGCTATTTTCATGCACAGCAGAGTAATTGAAATTTGAAAATAATCTAATAATTATAAAACAAACAGCTTATCCATAAGTCTTGTGGATTAAACACAAGACATTAGCCTGACCATTTTGCAATGATGACATTCTCCCGCTTATATTTTTAGCGCGCCAGGGTACTGCTCACACGTCGTGGGTCTAATCTATGCCTTAGACCTGGCAAGATGCTGAGCTGAGCCATACATCATCAACAACACAAACAAAGTCCTCCTGCACGAGTCTACCACAGCAGTGGCACAAGCCAAGGGGTAACAAAATAAGGGCAGTGCCAATTTCATCGGTAGTTGTCGCTAAAGCCAATGAAAACCGTATACGGCGACCAATCGACTGTCGGTATGCAGGAAGCAGGTAAGTTGAAAATTATGGTTATGGTTATAGTCATGGGATTTGGCAGACGCTTTTGTCCAAAGTGACATACAAATAAAAACAATACAATAGTTAAAATTAACAGTGAACAGTGAAAAGACTACATTAAGGATTTGTTCACTCAAAAATGTAATTCTGTCAGTAATTACTCTCCCTTATGTTGTTCCAACCCCGTAAGACTGTCGTTCATCTTCGGAACACAAATTAAGATATTTTTTATTAAATCTGAGAGCTGTCTCACTCCTCCATAGGCCAATAGCGTCTGGCTGCAGACAAGTGACGTCACTTGCACTCTCGGACTTGCACGCTCAGACACGAGCGCTTCCTCTGCAAGTGACGTCACTTGCAATCGACGCCTGCTCTCTACGGAACGCGATAAACGAAACGCGTGAAATTTGACCGCGTCAACACGCAGTGTTTGTCCTCGGCAAATTTTTTACGTGTTTCTTTTGAACGCGTAGACACGCTCATTTTGGTCGTATTAAGGTGTCATTTGTCATTTTGTTGACAGTTTTTTTCAAATTGCTAAAACACTACAAGTGGAATTTGAGGCTCACTCAGTGAAACCATTCACTCATGTACCCAATCTTTAGACCAAGCCTGCAAAAATACAAGGACAATATATGCTTTGCACTCAGTTTGCATTTGAAAAACAAACTATTTGCAAAACTCTAAACACATTTCTCTACATTACACACATCATTCAAAACTAACAGCTCTTGTGTTTCATTTGGGAAACACTGGCATTTAAATGCCACATTAATTTACTGATGACCTACAGCCAATAATCATGTGGGAAAACACTTGTACATAAATTGATCACTTAGAAATCAAAACTCAGTTATGAGAAAGAAAGAAATTATTTTTACTATTATTAGGCCTATATATTTAATTATTTTTTAATTATTATTAAGACATTTTGGACAATTTCATGCTCCCAACTTTGTGGGAACAGTTTGTAGATGAAAAACATCAAGATGATGCATTTTTTTTTCTTTTTATTGTAAATGTCAATTTACAGTACACAGTTAATGTGCAAAACAGACAAATACAAGGTACAAATAGACAATATACAACATATATAAAAACACATTAGCACATTATTCACTTTGCTCTAGTGTAGTTCGACAGTTTACCTTTAATTTCATGACATCGACTACATGTTCAAGAAACATTTGCATGTCATTCATTACAGTAAAGATGAAGCAAAAGGGTTCCAGAGCATCGATTCTGTCCTGTGGAAACTCAGCCTTCTCTAATCTCTCAATGACTTCCGCAACGTCTTGTTCCTCCATACACACCACTTTGGGCAAAATGAACAGATCCATGCAGTGCACTAGATTGATCCAAACTAGGGGTGTCGCAATATACCGGTATTGACGATAATCGTGATATTCAAAGCTTGAAATATCGACATCGTGTTAATTTAGAGTGTGGCAATATACCGGTATTGGCGATAACCACGATGTTTAAAATGAATAGGACTTTTATGATAACATGACACGTATACTCCAGCGCCAGTTGAGGTGGCAGTATTGCACCCGCGACATCTATCAAATGAGAAGAAGACGCAGCGCGCGCCAGCGCAGCCACTCTGGTATGGGAGTTCTTCGGCTTCAAAGAAAACAGCACTTTAAAGGGGGTCGCACACCGGACGAGAAGCGCAGAGAATTCTTTAAAATTCGAACACATTATTTTCTAGGAGTTTACACACACCACCGGCACCATTCGGCGTCTGTCCGCGATGCCTAGCAATGGCTCGGATTTTCAGGTGAGATTCTCAAATCATTCAGTTAACGGATGCGCTCTGACTGAGGTAAAGTGTTCAGACTGCAGACTTAGCAACGATTGTATTTAATTGTACAGTGCAATCATAACAAAGTACAGACATGATCTTAATTTCATAATGTCCTTAAACATAACAATATTGCTGGCCATGAACTGAGAAAGTGCGCGTCAGGTGTGCTACACACGACGCGGCGCGGAGCTGCGCTTCTCGTCCGGTGTGCGACCCCCTTAAGCCCAATCTGTCGCCACCAACCTTTTTACCCATCTCCGTGTCCATCACCCTGCGGATTACGCTATTTTACAGAGAGTAAATTGCGATTATTTTACTAGTCATGGAATGGGAAATGTGACACCTGTTAACAGCGGGTTTTTGTTTTCATATGTTTAAATAAAGGGCGATTATTAAGTACCCCGTTTTCTTTACTCGTCTTATTTGTGTATTTTTGTATTTGCACTTGATTTGTTTTGTTCAAATCTGCATGACTTGCACCGGCGCAAGTGCAACAATAGGTTTAAGAGCTTTTCAGTTCTTCAGGAAACATTCAGACAGTGTTTCGCTCCAGTTTGAAACCAGATATACTTCACATGCTTGTCTTACTTCACAAAAATGTGCATTCAAAGATAAGAACGCAAGACGTAAAAATGCACAAAAAAAGAAAAATTAAATAAAGTAAAAATTAATTTGACTGATTTGACATTTTCCCCCCCAAGGTTTCTATAGATATCGCGATATATCGATATCGTGAATTATTTTGGCCACAATAACCGTGGTGTGAAAAATCTAACATCGTGACAGCCCTAATCCAAACACCACTTGCTGGCTATCTTCAAATCTGGCATCAATCGACTCTGTGAAATAACACGGAGAACAAGGGATTGCAAGTGACGCCACAGCCGGTAGCGGAGAGCAGGTATCGACTGCAAGTGACGTCACTTGCAGCGGAAGCGCTCGTGTCTGAGCGTGCAAGTCTGAGCGTGCAAGTCTGAGAGTGCAAGTCTGCAGCCAGACCCTTCTCCCATAGGCTCCTATTGTAATTGAAACCTGCCGGCCCAGAAAGTTAGTAAAAACATTGTTAAAATAGTCTTAGTGAAAACAGTGGTTTACAACTGTATACAAGTTTATCAAGCGACAAGAATACTTTTTGTGCGAAAAACAAACAAAAATAACGACTTTATTCACCTATTCGTTTTCTTCTGTGGGCCTCTGAGTGAGTTCACGTAGTGTAACAGCGCAGCGCTACGTCAGAACATAGGCTCACTATTGGCCAGCATCACATTTATGACCAGCGTCACCTCGTGGATCACAGGCCACTAGAGACTTAAGGGTGTTAGTAGACTTGTAGGTGTTCAGTGCAGTCTAATGGTGCGTTCACACCAGACGCGAATAGAGCGTCTGGTGCGAGTGATTTCAATGTTAAGTTTACGTTATGCACGTAAAAAATTCCTGCGGCACGAATGAGGCGTAGAGCGCAACGCGGTAGACGCGAATGGCGCGAATTCGCGTCTGCCGCCCAAGTTGAAACATTTGAACTTTGGCGTCAATTTGCGCCGCGTTAATCAATAAGGAGCCTGCTTGCTGCTGTCACGTGGTGAAGTGACGTGATAAATGGGGACAGGCCCGCTTTTCAGTTTATAATATTATTTTATATGTTTGGCCTCAATAGATTATTTTATATGTTTGGCCTGAATAACTTATAACAATAACTTGCAATATGACAATGCCTGGTGTTGTTCTAATGCACAACAAAGCAAATATCACATAAAAACTTGATTTCAATATAAGAGACATTCATTTTGTAATGAATGCTATTTTTTCCGTATATAATCTAGATTATATGAAACAGTATTATTCTAATGTAAAGGCAACCAACATACTTTAGTGCATAAGAACATAATTCGTGTCAGGACCAAAATCACAGGACAGGTTATACTTTTGGAGGCTGGCTCAATTTATCATCAAAACAAAAATAAATGACAGATTAGGTGAGTGAGGGCGAGGGTGATCCTCGCTCCGATGTGGGACAACAGGTCATCAAGCTGGGCGCGGGACAGGCGGAAGTACAGGCGGAACAACCGAAGGGTCCGGTGGACGATGATCCCTACGCTGCTGTTCTGCTCTCCAGAGCAAATACAGAGCGGTGACTCTCTCGATGAATGCTCGATCAACATCTTGTAAAAAAGATGGCCGCCAACGGGTTTCGGATTTCGCTCCTGACGTGCGAATGGATTCAAAGTGTTCAAGCGTATAACTAGACGCGGTAGGCACGAATTTGACGCGCTATTCGCGTCTGGTGTGAACACACAGTAAGATGGCAAAAGAATTCGGAAATTCTTCCTTAAATTTAGCTGGCATGTTCTCAGAAATAACATCCCTGTGTGGCCAAATAGACAATTTGCCAAGACTCTCATACATATAGTCCACCCAGGAGTTGATCAGTGTGCTGACACTCTGTAAAATGGTTGTTAAATCTGAAGTCTTTGTGGTCCAAATTTTGTCTTAATTTCATTAAGGTCAGTAACAATTGAGTACGCAGTGAAAGTTGTTTGATCTCATTATTGAAACGTTTGTATGAGAGAGGAATGTCTGTTTGTGGTGCACTTGGGTCAGTTGGAATGTTAAAAAAAAAAAAATCACACAAGCTGTTAAATTGCTCATAAGAAAACCCTGTGCAGTAGTGGAAATAATCAGGCACATGGCTTTGGTTTAAAATCTCTGGGTTTAAAGCATCTGAGGTGTGTGCATACTGAAGTTCCTTTTGAAGATGATGGAGTTGGCCATCCTTTGCCTCGAGTTGAAGCTTCAGATTTATGATGTCCTGCTTGTGATTGGCTAATGCGTCCTGCAGAGTTCTCAGTTCCTCTCCATGGTCGCCCATATCATGTTGTAGAGACTTTAAGGATGAACCAAACACGAATTAATCTTTCTAATCTCTCATGGGATTCATTCAAATGTGATTCAGCATTTCGGATCTGAATACCACATTCCAAAGTCACAAGACTGGCTCCAAATTGTCTAGAAAACCCCCCCAGAGAAGTCTTTTATGGCCCCGCAGGCATTAGAGATAAGCCTAAACAGGAAGAACGTTGTCACTGTTTCATCCTTAAGCAAGACAAAGCTGCTCAGAAATGGTGAGACGAGGCCTGACCATTAAGGGGCCTGACCACCTTTGACCTCCCTCAGCATCACCACTGCTGAGCAGGACAGCGATGTAAGACAGACCCCGCTTCCATGGAACGTGAGAGACTTACACAGACTTTACATATCAAACCCATTAAAACTCACGCAGAACAATGCTCCGTGGACTTAATCAAACATCATAATTCTTGTTGTTCCTACAATTCATGTTTGTATTATGCGTAGATCACATATAAATCATGTAATTGTGATATAACTGTGTGTATGGATGAAAGAGTATCGTGCTTCCAATCAAAATAATCGTATGCCCTTAATTCAAAAGGTGGCTTGTTTGAAATCTGTGTAAAATGTTTTGTATGATTATAATAATCTATAATGTTTAAACTGGGGTCTCTTGTTTCTCTGCTAAGTGCTGGAACCCAAGCAGATCCCAGATAACGATAAGTAGGAACGATCCACCTCCTAAAATGATGCCATTGTCTCATTGGTCAGAATTCTCCAAAAGAGGTTGGACTAACGTTTAAGTTAAAGACCCGAACAAAGGAGTTAGAGCAGTGTTTCTCAACCTCTCCTGCAGGGACCCCCTGACAGGCCATGTTTTTGTTTTAACTCTGAAATGGCACACCTGATTCAAGTAATTAAAGGCTTAATGAGTAATTAGAGTAGGAATAGTTCAATTAATCAATTAGTCAACTACTCATTAAGCCTTTAATGACTTGAATCAGGTGTGCCATTTCAGGGTTAAAACAGAAACATGGCCTGTCAGGGGGTCCCTGCAGGAGAGGTTGAGAAACACTGAGTTAGAGTAAGGAGTTGAAAAAGAAATTCGGTTCAGAGAGCAGTTCGGGGTTGCCGTTCGGTTTTGAGTTCGGCTCGTGTTGAATTAAGTTTGCGCCTCTCTCTAGCAACAGCAAGAGAGTGTTCCTGTTCGTGCTTCTCTCTGAAAACACCAAAGAGCGTGTTCGCACGCTTCTACATCGACCAGACCAAATTAGACCAGCAGACAAATAACCCATCAAGATCGGGGTTGAAACAGCTCATTCAAGCCATCTAACTCGTTTTACTTTCATTTCTTCCTTTATTTTCTTTTTTCATAAAAGTCTCGGTTCAACGTTAAGTTGCTGCGAAGTTCGTTTAAACGTCTCTCCTGCAACGCGCTTCGAACTGTAAAGACTCTTATTCGCCTACCAGCCACACGGACCCGGTCGGGAAACCCCTTTGACGAAGCACCGCAAAAAGGGAACTCCCTAAGCAACGCAAAGACAAGCAAGTAGCAGCTACTCCAGACTCTTAACTGAACTGGTGCAAATGTAAATTGAATAACCTGTCTAAGAAACGAAGGTTTAAATTAATGCTTGGTGGTTCGTTCAGGTCATGTCTTACAAAGTGCATCTCTGAAAACTCTCTCTCACTCTCTCTCTCTTCCTCTGCGCCTTGTATGAATGCGTGTGTGTGATTGTGTTTAGACCTTAGTTTTATTATGTGTTTAGAATAGTTAATAAAGTCGTCAATATATTTGAAAAGATATTTGCCTTGTGTTGTGCTTGCACATTTAATGTCTTGTACTGTCGATCTAAAGTTACCTTGCTAATACATAGTGTTTCACTATAGATTGGATATTTATATCTGTTGCCAAGGTTATAATTACGGCCCGTTCAAATGAACTCTAAACGAGTCATTTGCTCGGTTCCATAGTGATTCGGTCAAGATTCAATGCAAATCGATGAATCATTCCTTTTGAGCTAAATTGGCCTTCCGGCCCCCCTTAAATACATTTTATGTATATTATTATTGTGTGATTCGTTACAATGTTCTTCTGTAAATGACAAAAAAGAGAAAGGAAACATTAGGGGTGTGACGAGACGCTTATCTCACGAGACGAGACGAGACACGAGATTGGGTTCACGAGAACGAGACGAGACGAGATTTTTGATTTCTGATTGAGGCTGTGTGTGACCTCCTAACTGAACTCCTTGAAGTCTTATTAAGCGCAAACAATAAGTGCAAGTGCAACCATAATCAAAGTTAGCACACAGACTCTTTATAATTGTTTTGAAATTGCTGTTTTATTTTGCACCGGCAGTTATAGGGTTAATGTGGTGAGTTCGGAAAAGGCCGGGTAGAGAGAAACGAGGCTGGTGTGTTTGTCTCTACAGCTGTTCTTGCGTTCCGATTATAAGTTCAGAAACAGAGCCTCCCTTGTCTGTTGTCCTTAAGACATTACAGTACCCTCTCAATATATTCGAAGTGCAAACTGAGACCATTTAGCCGCAAATTAGCCGTCCAGAGATGGGTATTAGGAGACGGACTATTGTATGTTCGCGGCCTAATTTGTGCGCAATGCACATCAGGGAGCTTGTGTTTTACTTTCACTTTCGTGATCGCGCGTAGTCTGTGTATAGGGAGCAGCTGTGCTGAGCGTGCATTCTACAATAAGACATATTGGACGTTAAATCAGACGTTAGTCTATGTTGCGCAACGAATCCTCCGCCATCCTCACGCGATCAGTGAACTGTGATTCGTGCTGCACTGATTGCAATGGCAACTCGTGCTGGATGAGCAGAGCAGACTTTTACATTATTTTATAATGGTTTTTATTTTTTTTATAAAAACAGCAAAACGATAGTTTAGGCGAATGTGAGTGTAGCGGTGGAATATTCTATGGTAATCTCACCCTCACGCTCAGTCATGGCGTTATCGCGAGACAGCTTTTCACTCGACGAGAAATCTCGTCATGTTTTAGTCTCGCGAGATCTCGTGGCAGGAGATCTCGTCACACCCCTAGGAAACATGGAATGTTACAAATTTATGTTATTATATTCTGTTTCACAGCTTCCTCTCCTTGACTCTGCAAGACCATCATCTGCGAACCAGCCGTCAAAGACTTCCTGGATTTCCCTCTGCCAACACAGCCGTCATATTTCTGTGCAGTGCTGCATGGAAAAAACGTGTAGTTACAGAAAATTGACAATCACACCATCCCAGTCTTTAGCTTTAGAAAAGAGAGACCAGACAATAAGATACAAATCACATCTGGCATATTGCCCGGGCTCCCCGACTAACGTCAAGTGGGTTCAAGACAATATGCTCTAGGAGAGCCGACTTTGACACCTTGGCTGTGAGAATCAAGGGCACATCCAAAATGCAGACCAAAGCAATGAGGAGAGGGTTAGAGCTAGAACCTGTGGCAGCACAGCAGTACTTCGAACGTAACAGGTAATCTGGTATACCCTTGCGGCTTTGTAGTGAACCCCCATGCTCCACACCTTGGCACATCCCCAGACAGGAAGGCTGTAGATGGTAATTTCCTTTTGGAAATTAAATGTCCAGCAAGGAACAGCTGCCAAGACTGCCCCTATCTCCAAAGACAGGCAGATGGCGGTTACAAGCTAAAGGAGACCCACGCGTATTACTACCAAATAATAGGGCAGCTGGGACTCACAGGCATGCCTTGGTGTGACTTCTTTGTAATGTGAGCAGAAGACTACCACTTGCAGCGGATACATTTAGATGTAGAAAAGTGGGGCGAGATGAAAGGCAAATTAGATTTGTTTTTCTTTGATTACTTCCTTCTAGAGGTCTGCTACCCAACCCGAGCCCGACGGGTCCCGAAAAACTCACGGGTTTCGGGTCGGTTACGGGTTAATGTTTAATGAATAGCCTCGAGTTCGGTTCGGGTTTGTAACTAAGAAAAATTATATAGCCTATACATATAGTTTGCGTGCCATGTGCTTGCCGTGTTGTGATCGTAAATATGAGCATGCAAGAGAGAAAGTACATGCGCAGTTTTAGCGTCACCGTCCTCCTGTGATTGCTGTGTTGTGAAAGAAAACAGTGCGCACGGGAGCACATGAGCAAAACCGTTTCTATTTGATCAAATATCATTTTACAAAACTGTGTTGTGCATGTGCGCCCGCGCGCACTATTTCAGTTACAACACCGCAATCAGAGGAGGAAGCGCTGAAACCATAAACTGTCGATGCTGTTCTCTTCCTTCATAACTCGTACTGAGGGGGCCGTACGAGCTGAGGGGGCCACTGTGCCTTGGTGAAATGGTGTTTGTACATGTATATGTGTTTAATTATCATTGCAAGCAATTATAAAATACAGCTTATTGCAAAAACAAAAAAGGTATTTCTGTGAGAAACGGACTTCGGGTTCGGGCTTAAAATATAACCATAATGGTCGGGTCGGGTTAAATGATTTCGGGTACGGGCCAGGTTCGGGCTTCAGTTTAAAGCCCGTGCAGACCTCTACTTCCTTCCCAGTTGCAATCAGTAACTAAAAACAGATAAAAATAGCGGTTTAAACTTACCATAGGTAGAGTTGTGATATACTGTGAAATGTGTCCTCGGTGGAGTTTGAGGTGCTGGCTTCCTGTCACACATGATTCAGTAAACAATCAGATTAACAATTGTTTAGTTGTCTTCATGAAATCATTAAAGTTTAACAAACCCTTCTAATAATTTAACTTTTGATAGCCCCATGGAATCAAATTTTATTACACTGTTGTTTTGTTGGAGTTTTGATCCTGTATTGGTTTCTTACCAGAAACAAATAAAATGCACTTTGTATAAAGAATGAGAGCATGCTGCGTTCTGTAATAAATCTCGCTGCCCAAATAAAGTCTACATGGTAGTAAACAGGTATGACAGCACATAAGTGACTACTGTTAATGAACTGATTAAGTTTGCATACCAACCTCTTCCTTGGAGATCTCCGGCAAGCCCCCCGATGTTCCCTTCTTAGAACTAACACCGGGAGAGCCGCGATCGGATTGGGGTACTCAGCGGTAAGCCGTTGATTAATAAAATGCTGAAATATATTTTAAAGTATGTCAGTGAGCCTCCGTCTTGCCTTTTATCATCTTATTTTAACGTTCAAATATATGCATTATGAACGAAGAAACGTCATTATTTCCAAACAATGCTGTGCTAAATTAGCTAGCTAACATTAGCGTGTTCTTACCTTGGAGCAAACGCAGGTGTTTTTGTTAATCCTGTCGACATTTAGTTGTGAATGACGCCTCCCACCTGGCGTGATCCATGCCCGGCATTTCTCCCCTTGGGTTTAAGGTTTCGGGAAGGGAAAAATTTCCACCCCTCCCCTTACAATCTTTTAGGAGACCGGGTATCAGATTTGCACAATCCCTACGCACAACGCTTCGGCATTTTTCCCTCGCTCGAAAGCTTGCCAGACCTCCCGCGCCTAGTTACGGTTGCTAAGCCATGATTGTCCTGTGGTGGTTTTCGGTTGTGGCTAAGCGAAGGATCAATAGGCTTTATGCCGAGCGTCACGTGACCAAGCCGGAAAACAGGTCACATCGCTTCCGATTCAGGTCTTTTGTATGTGCTTCATGAATTTTTTTGCAGTTTTACTCAAGATAACTTAAAAGGAGCACGCAAAAATGAGCACAACCAATGTCCCTCGCATGTGCAGATTGATATTTAAAAGTTTTTTAATTTTTCTTCTTCACACTAACGTTTAGATATTTAAACAGCATAAAACACCAATAACAAAGTGAACTTAGTAGGGTAGCTGATTACCTTAAAAATCAATAGATATCGTAGTTAGTTCTTACGGCCGTTAACACTTTCTCTGACAAGCGGATGCAATGAGACCTGTTTTCCGGTTTGGTCACGTGACGCTCGGCATAAAGCCTATTGCTTGTGTCTATGAGGCATGCGGTATCACTTCGCCTCTAAGCATTAGAGCCATTTCTCAATCCTGTACCTGGAGATTTACCTTTCTGCAAAGTTCAGCTCTAATTTTGATCAAACACAACTGAACCAGCTAATTAAGGTCTTCATGAACTCTTGGTAATTACAGATAAGTGTGCTGAATGAGAGTTAGATCTGAACTCTGCAGGTAAATAAATCTCCTGAAACAGGATTGGCAACCCCTGCTCTAAGGGAGAAAGGGGCGATCCTGCGAGATGTTTATGCTGTGGCAGACGGGTCCTCTCCACACACATTCATAAGGTTTTATTGTGTCGGAATGGATTCAACCCCAGGCTTTTTCGTGTCATCTTGGGTTAATCCATTACGACCTTATTTTGCAGGCTTTTTTTGGTAAGGTGGTTTGGCTATTAACGCTCCCATAGTCTCAACAATATGACACAGCACCTTGTTCCCTTCTCAGAAGCAGGTTACATATGTAACCCCAGACGTTCATGATTTTCGAGGTAAGCTTTTAAAGTTTTACTCAATCAAAGCATCACTAGTGACAAATAAAGGAATTTAGGTTACTTTTTGACAGGAGGTTTCTGGATACTTGGACTCCACACAAGTAAGTCTGCCACAGTAAAAGAAGAAGAAAAAAGTTCACTCGGCCTCAAATACTACACTGATAATGACCATTTGTATTTTTTGCTGATGTATTTATAATAGATTCTGACAATTAAAAATTGCCAAATTACTTTTAAGAGCATCACATGAGAATAACTATTAGATATGTTTGATCATTATTTAACTATTTAAATTAACTTAGAATGAATGTAGCTTCAAACACATCAAAATTGTCTATTCCCCATTCTGTCTGAAGCATTGGAACTTTTCTCAGTGTGCACAATGTGTCGGTCTTTAGAATATATGAATACAAAAATCTAGACCCTGTTCGCCCATGCATGGGTACAGAATGATAAAGCAGGCAATTTCCTAACATCTATTGTGTATGTGTGGGGTAGTACTTTGTACTGGAGATGATGACAGCACGGTTACTGTGAAACTAATTATATGATCCTTTATTGAACCCAAATGAGTATGCCTTATGACAATGGCATTTCTTACAGTTCCACTCTATATTGTCTGAGATAGTTGAAGTTTCTTCATTCCCATTGTGCGTCACGCAATCGTTAGTGCAGGCGTCCAAATTGATTGATTAATGGAGTTATGAAACATGCACTTCTGCAACGCCATGAAACTTGAACAGGAAGTGAGTATTGCATTCTTCAGAACAGCCTACGTTTACTGCTAAATTGCTGTTAATTAATTTAGAAAGATTTTAGTTCATTTGAACTTTCTAAATAGTTTTACTTAATTCAGTAAAGTTTAAACTACATAATGTATTTGAGCTTATAGTTATTTAATAGTAAACCTATAAATCCTACTATTTGATATTCAAATTTCTAAGGCCTCTAAACATGATCAAAACGTTGCTGAAAATCCTCTTGTACACGATTTACTACATCCCTTCTGTCGTTTGATAGTTTATACTTTTTACCAATGCCTTTAGGATCTTTTAAAGTGTCCACTTTCAGGTTGTGGTTCACATGTCGTTTCCCTATGAAATCTTTACTGATTTTTAATAAAGTAAACGTAAGAATAACTTTTATATTGTTAGTAAGATTTCAAGCTGAATACTTACTGGACTGAAACAAATTTTTAGAAAATCATGTTAAAATGTGATTATCAAATATGGTATCAGGCTTTTAAGAAACATTTATTTACATCTCTCAATCATCATTGTATTGCTCACAATCAAAACTAAAATATTAAATATAATTTTACTAAGACATATTATTGGGAGATATAGTGATAACTGATATCCGTATGCATTTTATGCAAGTAGTCTGCTATTCTGCTCCAAAGATCTCATTGATTTACATTACAGGCTATCAGAATTTTGTCTTACTTTTGGCAATATGAATATTAGCAAATGCATCAAATTGCATATTTTTGCTCAGTTTGGGCCAAAATTTAGATGATTTACCTGTACAAATGTATCCATGTTCACTCTTGTTTATTTTGATACATTATATTTGGTATATAATACCGTTCAAAAGTTTGTGATCAAAATACAGTGAAAAAAGTAATATTGTAAAATATTATTACAATTTAAAACTGTTCTCTATGTGAATATATCGTAAAATGTAATTATTTCTGTGATGCAAAGCTGAATATTCACCATCATTACTCCAGTCTTTACTCTTCAGTGTCACATGATCCTTCAGAAACCATTCTAATATGCTGATTTGCTGCTTAAGAAACATTTATTATTGAAATATGAAAAAACTATGGAATTTCAGCAACATTTTTAGCAGCAGACAGCTCACAACCCGAGACCATGGAGAAGTTTGAATAACAGGTTAGCCAACACATAAATAAACAATTATAAGTTACAAAAATATTAGCATACAGGTTTATTTTAGTTGTTACAGCAAGTGATGTATTCAACAAATGATAATAAGAAGCAGTTTTAAAGCATCACAAGGTACAAAGAGCGAAGAGCACAAGCCACTGAAATCAATGTAGACAAACGCTGCTCTGCTGTATCCTAATGTTACACGAAATGCGTCATTTAATCATGGAAGACTGCAAATTACGCATATAGCAGACGCTTTTATCCAAAGCGATTTAAAGGTGCTCTATGTAACTTTTCTACTAAAATTAATCCTTTTTTTATTGCCTGTGTGTGAAGGGGTTGTAATCACACATTAAAATGATCCACTTGTCGAGTTTTGCTATTACCTCTGAAGGCCAGTATTCCTATTTCTATGTGAAGTCTCCGGGTCGGATTTACCGCGAAATCCAACGGATGTGACGTGCATGCGCGCTCCCGAGCCTCTCTCCTTATATACAGTCTATTGTAGACGGTCAGGGAGTTACGTCCGGTTAAAGGCGCACGTTTTTTGGCTTATATCTCGGTCAATCTTTGATCAATATTCCCAAGACTCGAATCGTTTGTAGTGCTGGACGGGGCCTTTCGAACGAGCCCACCCCCGAGGTCCAACTCGCCCGGCTCCCCGAGTTATAGCCGTTCGAAAACGGGGCTCCCAGCGAACGGCGATCCGGTAGGGGGCATCCCCGAGGCCCGCCACTCTAGCGTTCGGGCAAGGGTTCCCCTGGGACCTCCTCCCCCAAATTTGAGCTCTCTGGGTCGTTGCATTCCAGAGATACGAGCGATTTTCTTCTGAGATCGTGACGTCACCAGCGTCCGCAATTTTGCAGCGCGCCCGATGGTTTTCTGCTAATATCTCCGCGAAAACACCACCAAAAACTATGGAACTTATATGGTTCTTTTCTGCTTGACTAGATGGTCCCAACGAGCTCGGTGCTCGCCGAATCCGTCTAGTATTCGCCGAGATATTTGCGTAATAGACGGTATTGTCTATGAGTTCGAGCACGAGCGCTCTTGTAAAATTTGGTTGCAATCTGAAACATCACCACTAGAGGCCGCTAAAAGTTACATAGAGCACCTTTAAAGAGTGTTTCACAAAACATGCCAATAAAAACATTATAATTCGTCACAAAATGGCAAACACTTGTACTTTAGGCATAAATTAATGCAACGCTGAAACTATATGGACTATTTGATAAAGTTACCTTAATTAAGTAATGCTCAGTTGGATACACAGTTGCGCATGTCTGGGAATCTCATGAATATTCATGTTTGCTCCGCCCACGGAATCCGAGAATCTCAAAAACGGAAAATCACATAACATCTGAGCAACCGTGTGCAGGTGAGTGACATCTGTACACAATTTCCTGCGAAAACAATCTCGCTAGGTCTAAAATATAAACATAAATAATAGGCTTACCATTGTGAATCAGGGTAAGACAAAAACACGTTTGGGAAGAAGGATTATGTATTTGACTTGTTGTTCAAATTTTCTTAAAAAGTTACATAGTGTACCTTTAAATTGCTCAGATGAATAGATGAGAAATCGATGTTAGCACAGAGCACGGAGTGAAAGCTGCAGTGCAGAGACGTGAAGCAGCTCACTGTTTCTATATGTAGCTTGTATCTTCCCTTTTGTCTCCTGCGGTGTTTCACTGCAGAGCTCGTGTGTGTGGTCAACCGTTCTGTTTCTAGAGTAGTGAAGCCAGGCCTTATTAATGCTGTCCTGAAATACTTCACTGCCTCCAGTCCAACATTTTATAATACCCACATTCACCATGCCTTAATCTCATCCATAAACCATTCATTTTTGTCTTGATGTCTTACATGACAATACACAACATAAATCATGCTGCAGTCTTTTAAATGAGGCATTCCAGAGGTTAATGTGCACTAATTGTGGAACAGTTGGCCATGATACACTTTGAGCCTGTCAAGCAGCAGGGTTTCTTTGCAGAAGTTGCACCTGAACTTCACTGTTATATTCACTTTGTAATCCTAATCATTGAGGTGCTTTCAGATATATGGAGGGTGATATCAGTGGAGACAGGCT